ATGTTATTTTAACCTAAAAAATAGTATGAAATGTTTTAAAGCTTAATAAGTAAATACCATGTTGAGGATGGTAACCTGACTTAATTTGTAACCCTGTCACTTTCAATGAATCTTTAAAATACAATAAAGAAAAGGTAGGAAGAAAGGAAATAATGCATATATATATCATCAGGCAAATAATTCATCATTTGTTCAAGTCACACAGCAAATATTTCCTGAATATCTACTGTGCATCAAGCACAATGCTAGATGCCAGGAATATAAAGAAGAATTGAAACAACACCATTCCTATTTTCATGGTAATTACAATCTTACAAGGATATTGGCCATGATCAGATAATCCTAAAATTGAGTACATAAAAATAAATTGATATAAATGTTCTATGAAAAGGAACATAGCTCTATGAAAGCATATAACAAAGGAATCTGTTTCAGAGTAAGAGTGCACGGAAGACTTCAGAGAGAATAGAAGAACTATAAACTGAGAACTGAAAGCTGAGAAAAATCAGGAAGGTAGGAGAAGTAGTGAAAAAACTCAGAAAAAGACCCAGTAGTAGGAGGCAGCATAGTACATTTAAGAAAGAGAAAGGATAGTGTGGCTGGATGCACAGACCAAGAAAGGAAATGGTATAATAACAGGCCAAAGAAGAGAGGAACCAGATTAATTGTTCAAAGAAGTCAGAGTGGTCTCAGTTACTTGAGGCTAAATATCTTGTTTTTTTTATTAAATTAATTTTAAGATCATGTAAGAGGAGGGAAAAATCATTAACCACCCAAGATAAAAGATTTGTATCTAAAAAGGTGGGGTGTTTTGCTCTGAGTCTTCTGCTTCTGCAGATAATTTTACTTTTAAATTATAGTGTTGAAAACTGAGTATGAAAGTATAAAAAGGAATCAATTCAAATGATTAAATAAGAACCATTCCTTGCCAATATTTTTATCCCTACTGAGTTCCATCCTGTTTTAAATACCATTTTTCTAACTGTTCAGTCATTTTAATTTCAAATAACTCACTCTATCTGAAAACTGGTAAGAAGAAATCTAGCATTTCTGCCTTTTCTGTATAAATGTACTGCATGAAAGCAAAGTTGATTCAAAAAAATTTATTTACAGAAGTCCAACTAATAAATGAAGAATGAATGATAATATTAAAATAACACTATTTTATAACCTTAAAAAATAATTTATCTAAATTATTTAGGTGAAAAACTGATAGCAAACTTTGCAATGGATACATAGCCTGATAATACTTCAACTACTGATCAGTTTTATTAACACAGAGAGAAACAGACATTACATGCCTCCTAATATTATGCAAAAGTACAATAATCTATAAAGTATTCTTTTTTTTTTTTATCCTCACCCGAAGACATTTTTCCATTTTTTGTACAGATAGAGTGGGAGGGAGAGAGAGGAAGAGATAGAGAGAGAGAAACATCGATGTGAAAGGGACACATCGAGTGGCTGCCACCGCACGACCAACCAGGGCCGGGGACAAACTGCAACCGAAGTACGTGCCCTTAGCGGGAACCAAAACTGGGTCTCTCCGGCCCGCAGGCCGACGCTCTAACCGCTGAGCCAAACCGGCCAGGGCTATAAAGTATTCTTTTAAAAAAGTTAAATCCGCCCTGGCCGGTTTGGCTCAGCGGTTAGAGCGTCGCCCGGGTTCGGTTCCCGCTAAGGGCACGTACCTCGGTTGCAGTTTGTCCCCGGCCCTGGTCGGTTGTGTGGGTGGCAGCCACTCGATGTGTTCCTTTCGCGTCGATGTTTCTCTCTCTCTCTCTGTTCCTCTCTCTCCCTCCCACTCTACCTGAACAAAAGATGGAAAGGTGTCCTCGGGTGAGGATAAAAAAAAGAAAAAAAAAAGTTAAATCCAAGTCTGATCCAGCCTCTGTATTTACCAGCTCATAACAAACACAGGAAATAAACATGTTAAATGACACCACAAAGATGCAGTCAGCAAAATGTAAAAAATTCTATAAGACCAACGACATACTTTATTCATCAAATAAATTACAAAGCAGGGAAAGGACAGAGAAAAAATAAATTACAGATTAAAAGAGACTTAGGAAATATATCAATTAAAAGCTATATGTGGACCATTAGATTTTTTTTTTTTTAATCCTCACCGGAGGACATTCTTTCATTTTGTTGTTGTTGTTGTTGTTCAGATAGAGTGGGAGGGAGGGAGGGAGGGAGGGAGGGAGAGAAACATCAACATGAAAGGGACACATCGAGTAGCTGCCACCCGCACGACCCAACCAGGGCGGGGGACAAACTGCAACCAACCGAGGTACATGCCCTTAGCGGGAACTGAACCTGGGTCTCTCTGGACCGCAGGCCAATGCTCTAACCGCTGAGCCAAACTGGCCAAGGCGGATCATTAGATTTTGACTCAAGCAAACCAACTGTATAAAAAAAGCAAAACCCTTTATGACACAATGGGAAAAATATGAATGCTAATTGGATATTTAATTATATTAAAGAATTATTGATTTTTAGGTGTCATGATAGTATTGGGGTTATATTAAAACGACCAAAATGTGTCCCTATCTTTTAGAAATACATATATATATACATACTTACATATATTTACAGATTGATGTGATGTGCAAGAATTGCTTGAAAATTTTCTGGGAGAAAGGTACAGAGGGCTCTGGTCCAGATGAAATAAAACTGGTCACGTATTAACTGTTGAAACTGAGTAATGGATGCATAAAGCTTCAAATACACTCTATTTTTATATGTTTTTAAATGCTGATTTTAAAGTTTGAAAAAAAAATTAAAAATCAAGAATGCCCTCAGTAGACTGTAAACCTCTGAGGCATTCTTATTTAACACACTGATTGAGCCTACCTATGCATGAGCATTATTCAAGGTGCTAGAGACACAGTGTAATAAGAGAGACAAGTATTTTTAAATTCCTTACAACAAAGTACCCTACAAATAAAACAGAATTATGACATAATTGCTAATACAGAGGAAGAAGTAATTAGAAGCATATAATTCCAGAGATTTACTAATAGTATTTGATAAATATTAACATGAATAATAAACAAATGGAATTCTGTTTTGGCAGTTATCTCCCATTCTTTTCCACTTCTAATCCATAGCTTTCCAATACTATCAAAATAATAAGTCAAAATAAAAATACAGGATGTGGCAAACGTAGGTTTACAGTTGTTCATATGGAAAATATTAATAATACAAGAATAAACTGTTTTGCATACTCACAACTGTAAACCTACTTTTGTCCCACCCTGTATTAAATACTTTCTCCTTTCTACACAAACATTGATTTTATATGTTTGGAAAGTCAAAATATGACTAACACATTCAGGATCTTGTTAGGGAACAACAATGTCAGACGTTACTCAGTGTATCTTATCTGATCTAGGGGACACATTTTGGTGTATAGTATCTCTAAAAACATCTAACATTAGGTCTTAAAATCCCAATTCAAACCTACACTATTAAATGCTGAACGTTCAAATAAAAGCAGCCAACATAAAGGCCAAGGCTCTATGCAGAGGTGAGCTAACCCAACATTGGGCAATGCAGCCTAGGTATCACTACTACTTTGTTAATTGTTGTGGCAGCAACAGGAATCTATCCCTATATCTCAGGAAGCAATTTAAAAGAAAAAAAAAAGAATACCATGTACTGCATCCTTAGAAAACTGACCAGCTAAAACCATGACCAAGAAAGAAACCCAGATGAATGAAGCACTTGAAAAAGAGAGGTTTAGCAGCATAAAAAGTGAAGCTGAAGTATTCAATATCAATGTCTCAGAAACAAAAGAAGAAATAACTGATACCCAAACATTAAGAGGCACATAGCTCTAGGTCAGACAAGGCCCATAATCCCATCCTTTTGATCTCTAGCTCTGTATTCTTTTCATTACACAGCACTACCTACTCTTTCAATAATCTTAATTAGATCATTATTAAAACAACTTGTGTTTAGTTAAGACACTGGACAAACAGGTCAGATGTGTACATCTCAATCAGCTAATGACCCCATTAGAACTCGGGGGTAAACCCACTACCCCACTTGCCCAGGGGCACATGTTTCCAGGCAGAGAAAGGTCTAAAAGAACCCACATGATTTGCTTTCCCAGAAAAAATTCTGTTTAAAGCCCAAAATTCTCAGATAAATGTGTTTTCTTCACAGATACTAAAGTTCATTTGGCTGCTATTTTCCACAGATTTTATCCATGCTAATCTTCTTGTTCTGGGCCATAATACCCTGGATAGTTCCATCAAAGACCACATCCTGTGAAATCAGCATGTTCCAAATCCCTTTCTTTCTTAACTGTTAAGTATCCTAAAAATCACCCTATTTCTTCTAAACTTGACATTCAGAACATAAACACTAATAAATGTTAACTCAGAGATAAACACATTAAACATACATTAAATTTATTATGTTGTTTCTTAGAATTTTCTTCTATGAACCTTTATAATATTTTAAATTTCGCTTACATTCTAATATATGTATTTTCCTTCAAATAATCCTGACTCTCATTAAATCATAACAAGTTTGAGAGTAAATTTGTCATACAAACACTTTATATGTACACATAATACCAGACCACACAAAATATATACTCATCTCTAGAATTATGTGAAATATTATTTGGTTTTTCTCTATTCTTTTTGATGCACCGTCTTTGAACGATAAAAAATCCAATAGAAATAAACCAATTCAAAACAAACTCTAAGGTCCACACCACCAAAGCAGCAATCTCTAATGCCATTTGTTCTAAAAACTACTGCAAAGTAGTTTATTAAAAGTACCTATAAAAGAGTACCATAATATAACTGTGGTGTATTTCAGAATGTTTAGGATTAGAATAAAAATAAATAAGTAAAGAAATAATTTTCTAAGTTAAAATAATACATAATAGATTGCTAAAAACAACTAATTACAACCAGCAATGATTTCAAGTAGCAAAAAAAAAATGGCAACAGACCTGAAAAATATTCTGAGAAACTTACCATCATTTTGGCTCTTGCCCTTTACCTCCTCCTTCCACGATAGGATAGTGATCAGGGGAACATAATCCCTCATGTATTCTTTGCGTCTTTCCTCTAGGGTCATCTTCAATAAGCGCTCTTGCAAAATAAAAGCAGAATTTCCATTTGTACTTAACTTTTGAAATCAGAGATTATTTTATAATTTAAATATTAACCATGTTAAACCACCAAAAAAAAAACACCAATGTGGGCTTGAGAAACACCAAAATGCAAATCTAATGCTCTATATAAGTATTAAAAGGTGTCAAATTAATACTATATTAACAGGGGTTAACAAGGAAATTCTTTCAGTCAACATTTTTGACAGTCTACTGTGTATCAGGTGATATGTTTATACATTGCAACAACAAAGGAGATCCTTGAGAAGTTCACAAGACAAAAGAGGAAATGAATAAGAGACAAAATAACAGCTACATAAATAAAACACTAAATCCTAAAGCAGGTATGTAAAATACTAAGAGCACAAGAAAAGCAGCCACCAAGATATTTTAATTTGAAGATGCCATCAACAATAAAAGTGCACTTTTAACTTAACACCTTTGTGGAAGTGTAAAGAATACTTTAAATATACATCTCATCTTGATTATAAGATTAAAATATTTTTAAATGCATCTTAGAATTGTTAATAATTGGTGTCATTTATAAAAAATTCACTGTGTGCCAGGTACTTCACATGTATAATTTTATTGAAATAATCTTCCCCAAAACTCAGCAAATAGATAGTTTTAGTATCCTTATTTTGCAGATAGGGAAATAAATCACATCAAAATTCAGTAGCATATACAAAGAGAGCTTTCCATGAAAATCCAGTCAGATATCTCGATTAGAAACTATAGCCTATACAATTAGCCACTATACTGTAGTACCTTCTTAAGAAAAGTTCCCCAAAAGAGGTATTGTGTATGCTCGTTCCTAACAGGTAGAATTTTGCCATGAAGACTTAAGAAGTAAGGATATTTCAGACTAATAGAGCAATGTAAACACAGATAATGAGATACAAATATTTTAATGAAGCTGTAAAATATGCTATGAAAAGGGAAGTAGCCACAGAAGTGAAAAGGAGCTTGAAACAGAAGTTAAAACATAAAATGTATAGGAACTTGTACACCATACAGTTTGACCTTTATCCAGTAATGTATAACACTAATATTCAAAGTTGATCATGAACATCCCAGAAGGCATATAAAATGACCCACTAGGATATAAGGGGAAAGTTTATAAAATTATATTTATATTTTTAATCTGAAAAATAAGATATTAAAAATTACTAATATTCAATATATAAACTGACACAGGCATCCTCATTAATTCTGTATGTCAGCTCTCGTCTATTACATACTTTACCAAAGATTGTATTCTCACTCTCAAGTTCTCTCTCAGTATATTATAAGGTATTTAAGTTTGGGTGAATGGATTTAAAGATAGTACATAGTTTTAGGTAAACTAACACTCACAAAATAATCAATTTAAAAGACCCCTCCAGAGACATAAACTTCAGAAAGTATTAATGTAAGCAAAAGTGAACAAGAAATGGAGCCAATATTTCTTCCACCCCCACCCCCTAGAACTGGCTTTTCTTCAGCCACAGAAACAGACAGAACAACAACAAAAAGCCATGTTTTAATCCAATGTGATATATTCAAATCACAATACTACAATACTCAAGGGTTAACACCATACTAAAATCAAGATGCATACAAGGCATTCAAGTTGAAATCAAGAATCTGGAACTCATGGGTGAGGTCTTGCCCAGAGATTTTTTAAAGTATAACCTAAACTTCTGGTCCTATACTTCTGGCCCTATAGGAAGTTCACAAGGAAGGGTAAAGGAGGAGACCAAATCTCAAAAAACAACATTTAGGGAGTGGACACAAAGAAGGGAAAAATGAAATAACACTTAGATGTCACTGGGGACACAAAGTTAATCAAGGTCCCAGTGATGTGGAAACCAGCAGAAAGAAGAGTTTTAATATGTAGAAGAGGAGAGATATTACCAATTGCTTCAAGAAGATCAAGAAGAATAAAAATTAAGAAGTTATTGGTTTTATCAATTGGGTCATCAAAAGCACTGAATAGGGAGCAAAGTGGTTAACAAAATTGTATGGGTTCTCATTCCAAATCTGGCAAATCTATGTGATCTTGGATTACTTAAGGTTGTTATGTCTCAGTTTCATTTAAAGATAGGTTGGTAGGAACTATTATCAACTTATAGATGAGGCAACTAAAACAAAGAAGTTAAATAATTTGCCTAAGATTCTACAGATAGTAAGCAGTACAACAAGGATTCAAATCCATGCAAATGGTGTCCAATGCTCTTGATCCTAGAATATACTACCTCAGAGGGTAGTTGTAATTAAATGAGATCCCATGTAAAGTACCTAGAAAGTGCTGAGCAGGACTTAAATCGTAACTATTTTATACTAGTACCATCACTACTGTTATTACTGAATGACTTCAGAAACATTCGTTTTATTAGAGTGTAACTAAGATCCAGGAGGCTATGAGAAACTGACATAAAGAAAGTGAGAACAGCAAACTCCAAGGTGAAGCCCTGTGGAAGGCTACTTTAGGGTAGAAGTGATTTGAGCATTCTTATAGGCTGAGGAGAGAGGAACCTGAAAACACTCAGAAACTAAACATACCCAAAAGGGAATAAATGATATCACAAGATCTCAAAGAATTCAGAAGATGAGATAAATAGCACAAACTGAGAGGTTATTCTTAGAAACTCAGAAGAAAAGTGCTTTCTTTAAGCTAGAGAAACAAACCTGAAAAGACAAAGGACCTTTGAAGAAACAGACAAATAAGACCATGCAGTTGTTCATGTTATGACATGTATTTTTTCTCCATGAATTAAAAGGCAGTATCTGGCAGTTCTATGGAGCAAAACCATGCCTTTCCCCACCCCCTTCTTTCCCAGGGCACCATGCTCTCTCATTCTCATTCTCTCTTTCCCTCTCCTCCTCTCCCTCTATCTCTATTCAAATCTCTCCTCCCCATTTTGTCTCCAAAGGCACAATATATGTCTCTCTATCTCAGTATCACACAAACGAGGAAAAGGGATGACTAGCACTTACCAAAGCACTACTAAAAAAAACTCAGATCACTAATATGGAATTATTGCAACATCAATGATCAGGTTGAAATATATGAAGTAACTATAGTTTTAATAAATGTCATAAGATTCAAATGGGAATGCAAACTGGCCTCTGTCACTACATTTATTTAAAAGTTTAGGTGTGGTCACTTAGAACCAAACAAGACCAATAATAAGACAATAAGGTAAAATAATGAGATCATTTAAGTTTCAGTACTTGAAATGATAATACACACTAAGTAGTTTTGAATTAGGGCTGAAAATACTAGATCAATAACATCTAATTAACATATGTGGACTCGAGAACTCTTTATTTGTTTAAACAATAAGACATACTGAGTGCTACATACATATACTATACAGTTTATTTGGTATTACACAAAACTTTTCCTTAAAGAATGCTTCACCTTTGCAATAAATCCTTTATTTGTTAACCAAGCATATAAGTAGGCAGACCTACTTACTAGATGGTATACTGAGTTAAAATGTTTATACAATGCCTTGAAATTTCAATGAGATGCATATTTAGATTTAAATAACACTTGCAAAAATATGATGTCATCCTCTCCAGTGCAATAAAAGGAAAAAGGTCATGAATTCCATCAGCTTCTTTAATACTAGCTACTGTGCTGAAAATCCTTAGCTCCTTCTTGATGATATATATATTTTCTAAAAATATTAACTATTCCAAACATAGGCATCCTGATAAGACATAGACATATATTAAAGTCTTCAAGTCTCAATAACTTTTCTCTTTAACATTAAACTTCAGCCAAAATAGGTAAGTTTAGGACAAGAGAAATGTATTTTGTTAAATGCCTTCCTTAATTGTGCATTTGCTCTTTTATTTAAAAAATATTAATTTAGTTATATTTCCCCTATTATTAGAAGCAAAAAAAAAATATGTAAGACATTGAAGATTTTAAAATGCCTGCTTATCACAGTTCAACTGTGTAAGATGTTAAATGAAAGAAGCATTGTAACATCGTTACTCAGGAACATTATCTATTATGGCAGAAAAAAAAAACAGTTCTTAAGTAACCACTATAATTTCATCAATCATTCATGTATTAAAATCAATCTCCATGTCACTATTTCTCCTTCATTATCATCAATAATACAAAGCTAACATTTCAAGATCATCAATAAATATGAGCATAAATTATTTTTAAATGCTTACAAGGTAAATCCTTGTTGAAAGTAAACTGCTACTGCAAAAAAACAAAAAGTTATTTCACACTACTTTCTATATCAGACTATTATTTTCAACAAAATTTGCTGTGACACAAATATTAGTTCTATGTATAACTATAATCATTAAAACATAATTAAATGACATGCAACCTACTCTTTCAATATTTTAAAGACCATTTTAATCAGTTATTCAGTTATTACATTAAATCTTCCCAGTTGTTAATTATTTTTAAAAATTCCTTCTCATCCCTTTCCTTGTACATTTTTTAAAGTAGCTCCTATAGAGAGGATTCTTTTTCCATATTTAATTTATTTTCCACTATTTGCCTACTTGTTTACAAAGGCCAGGACTTGCAATAAAAATCTACAGGTTCTGGAGAGCTATTATCAAGGAAATCAACTTTCAACCTAGTCACTCCTTCATCCTTCTTCTATAAAGATGGGATACTTAGGAGAGATTTGTACTACCCTCACTGGACCTCAAGCCATACACAAGCTTAGTATATCTTAAATAGCAATGCGAGTAGTTTTTGTTCCATTTATGTAAAAAAGCTAAAGAAGAAAAAGGAGTGAAAGAAGAAAGAAAAAAAACCCAGAGTCAAATTTTATCTTAGAATATTATCTAACTATAATGCCAGAGAGAGAAGAGAAAAGAGGGTTGGATCACACACTTCTGAGTCTTACAGAAAATCAGTGCCACTTTCACTAATTTGGTTAAGCCTAGGAATGCACAAAAGTCGGGTGGGTTCATTAAGAGAGAGAGTGACATGAGTCTCACAAGCTTACTCTGAGCAACTTCAGACTATGAATGGGGATGGAATGTTGAGAAACACTGCAGAGAGAAAAGCCCATTTAGATTTCTCTGAAGGCACCTATCCTCACGGACAAGACGCTTGTTTTAGGTTTCCCCTAGAGTTCCATGTTTCAAGTCACACTGCGGAGCAAAAGTGGGGGACCAAGAGAAGGGTAAACACCCGAAGATGGGGACAGACTGCATGCTGGAGGAGTGGGGGGACAGAGGCTAAAAGTGAATGAATGAGGGGCGGCGGGGCGCCCAGGCGTGTCAGCTGCTGCGGGTGTGTCCGCAGGCAGGCATGTGTCCCTGGGACACGCTGGCCAGGCGAGCGAAAGTCCCAGCAGGAGTACGGAGACCAGGCGGGGAGACAGAGAAGTTGTGCGGGGCCCGGAGACTGCACGCGAGTGTCCACGCCACGAGTGAGGCTAAAGCAGCCCCGCCCGGGGAGGTGACCCGACGCGGCGGGCGGCAGAGAGGGGCGTGCGCCCACACGTGCGCGAGCTGCAGGTACCTACCCGGGGGCGGCGCGTGCACGCCGGTGGGAGCGCGCGTGTGCGCGCGTGTACACACGGACACACGAGGGAGGCAGCACTGGTCGAGCGGTCTCGAGGCGGGAGCTGGTGCGGGGGGCGCCGCGGCACACACAGCCCGAACCCCACCCCCACCCCACATTCACCCCCCACCCGCACCCCCGGGACTCGACAGGCCGGTTACCTTTCTCCTCTCTCCACACCTTTTTCTTCTTGTTGCTGGGGTACATGTTGCCGTGGGGGTGGCTGGCTTTAAGCTGCAAGTTCCCCAGGCTCACGGGCAAACAGGGAGGTGTGGAGTGGGAGGGGTAGGAGGGGGCACTCGGGAGGGAAAAAGTCAAAAAGGCTCCGCGTCCCACGCTGTTCGCAGCTCTCCAGTCGCCACCCTCCTCCCTCAGCCCGCGCTCGGCTTCGGCTCCCACCCGCCTCAGCCCCGCGGACGCCGCCACAGCAGCACCTCAGAGCCTGTCAACTAGGTCACGCCTCGCGCTAACCTAACACCCGCGCAGGCCCCGCCTCCCAGCCGCTAGCCATCGCCGCCTCCCATTGGCTGCACTGCCCGCCGCTCTCCGCGTTCCAGCCACCGCGCGCCCCAACTTCGGCCCTAGGGCGCACGCGCAGGCGCAGGCTTGAGCCCGACGCCGAGGACGTTGGGGAGGTGGAGGGGGCGGAGCCAGGGCGTGAGGGTGTTGGAAATGTCCTCGCGACGAGAGCGGGACGAGGAGCAAAAACCTGGGAGGGTTGTGAAGTGGTAGATGCGTCCCCCAGGCTTCGTGGAACAAGATGCACCCGAGGGCGTGGCCAGGTGCTTCCTGAGACTAAGGAGTGACCTGGGGATCCCCGCCTTAGGGACTGGAAGATGTAGAAGTGGGGGATGTGAGTCAACACACATTGTTCATGCTCACTCTAACTGCGAAGAATGTACCAGATAATCTGAAGCTTTCTTCTTCGTGGGCAAATACTTTATAACCGAAAGAAATGAAAAGATTGGGAAATGGTTCCAGATCATATACAATGGGTTCCCCTGTCTTGTAATAAAAATTACAAATTTCACTGGAGTTCGGTGACATTTGGAAAGAACAAAGGTAAATTGGACTACTCAAGTGTTTTAAGAACTAGTAAATAGTGTGCAACCAAACTGTTATATTGGAAACAGAAGCCTTACATTAAAGCAAATTCAAATAGGTGTTAACCAAGGTCCAGTCATTTTATTCCTCTACCAATTAATTGCTTCTGGTCAAGGTGCTGGTCCAAAGGACTGGCTTGATTTTGAGTAATACTAAAATCCAGTTCCAGTAGAGTCCGTCACACAAGTAGAATGACCTAGAATTTGGAACAAGTTTGGAAACCTTCCAAATTTATTGCATTTCTAAATATCAGACAGTCCACAGGACTGATTTCGTGATGCATTGAATCGGTATTTATTTGACAACTAGGGTGCTTTGTTATATGTGTTCTACTTAAGCAAGCTGTGTAACACCAAATGATTACTTGTAACACTTTTTTTTAATAATAAGAGAAAAAAGAAAGAAAGGGGCAGGCCCCATTAAAAATGATAAAGAATGAACTGTTTTGAGTAACAGGACACTCAAGTGAGAATAATTCATAACATGGTGAGGTATTAATTTTTATTTTGACATTGTTCTTCCTTCTGTTTTTCTTTTAATGCTAAGTACATAAAAATTTATTTTTCTGAGAGAAACAGGGAAAGCTTCAAGAAGTGACATTTGAGCTAGTAATAAAAATATGCTCTCATTTATTGGCAATAAAAAACAAAAGAGGGCTCTGTTTTAAGTTACATTACCAAGGTAAAATCAATAAAAATTGGTAATGGAATAGATTTTGTGAAGAGGTTAAGGATGAGAAAGATGATAAGGATTTCATGGGCTAGTTAAGGTGAACAGCAATATTAATATTAGGCAATACGGAAGCAATTACAGATTTTGTGGGGAATATATTCTCTTACTTAGAAATGCTAAATGTAAGGTATCTGTAGGAAAGTGAATCATACTGGACACTTCCCCTTCAGTTATAACGAACACTGTTTCCACACAACCTAGGTCCAATCCTTCTACCTGTGCTTTCTTAGGAACATTACACTATTGATTATTCTTTGCCACATGTCAATTCAAAGAACTAGAACCAGCCATCAACTTTTAAACTTTCTCAAGTCTCTGTGAGGTTTAAAAAAATCTTCCTCTGATCCAAAAACCCCCTTCAGCTACTGTTTCTTCCTTTACAAAAGGTTGACAATACCTACTGTATCAATTTCCTTACATGCCACTTTATGCTGTTCACTCCACTCTAATCTGAGTTCTATCCTATCATCTACTGTAGTAAGCTCTTACTAAGGTCACCAATGACCTTCTTGTGCTATTTAACTGATATTTGTCCATCTTTCTTTTACAAGATCTCTCAGTAGCATTTACACTATTAACCCATTGGTCCTCGCAGTATTCTTTAACTTTCTTATCATTTTAAATTTCCACCTCTCTGGCCATTCTTTCTTAGTTCCCTTAGCCAGCCCATCTTCCTTTTCAGCCATTATATTTTGAAGTTTGTTAAAACTCAGTACTACCCCCATGTCTCTTTTCAGTTTATATTTTTTCTTTTAATAATTTCATACATACTCATGGTTTTCAATGATTCTCAACCAGGGACAGTTCTGCTCCCCCCCCCCCATGAGACATTGCAATGTCTGGAAATAGTTTTGGTTGTCACAACTGGAGGAATAATGCTACTGGTATCTAGTGGGTAGAGGCCAAGGATGCTGCTAAGCATCCTACATTGTATAGGACAGCCCCCAACAACAAAGAATTATCAATCCCAAAATATTAATACTGCTGAGGTCGGAAAGCCCTGAGTTACACCTGTGATTCCCAAATTTGTTATCTCCAGAAAAAAATTTCTTCTTGAGCTTTAAACATATACATGCTACCATATACTGCATCTCAACTTGAAGAAGTTGCTGTTCTGTACATACTAAAAGGCATCTGGAGCCAGATTCCCTGGATTCAAATCATAAGTTACCCTTATTGACTATGTAACCCTTTGCAAGTTTCTCAAAGTCTCTGTACCTTGTTTGTTTTTTAAATATGTTATATGGAGATGATAATATAGTATATACCATATAAGATTGATGTGAGGAATAAGTAAGTTAAAACATATAAAGAATTTAGAACAGTAACTAGCACATGGTAAATGTGGCAGAGATGCTAACTAATGCAGTTTCCTCTCTCTTGGTCCATAGGAACTATATTTCCCAGCATCCCTTAAAATAGTTAGGATTTGTGACTACATTCTGACTGGTTTGTGGGATAAAAATTTTGCATGGCACTTCCAAGCCTGAATAGTATTTCCCCTATGTGCTCATTTATATTTTCCCTTTCCTTTCCACAGTGTTCTCAGAAGCATCACCTCAAGAAGGAAATTAGCTTGTATTTCTTTTTTTGTTTTTTATCCTCACCCAAGGATATGTTTTTATTGATTTGAGAGAGAGAGAAACATTGATGTGAGAGGTGGAGATCAAACCCCCAACCTGAGTATGTGCCCTGACCAGGAATCAAACCCATAACCCTTCGGTGCATGGGGCAACACTCTAACCACTGAGCAACACTGGCCAAGGCCAGCTTAGATTTCTGAGTCACTACTTGGTGGAGTATCTTAGGGATCTAAGGAGTACCAACCACATCAGGCTATGATATAAATAAAAAACTCTTATTGTATTAAGGCATTGATACTTAGAGGGTATTTGTTTCAGCATTTAGTATTATTCTGACAAAATAATATTTGATGTATCAAATACTTAAATATACCACATACCACCCTGAACTAATGATCTTTCCCCCACACTTAGACCTCTTTCATTGTTCCATATCTCATTAAATGGCTCCATCGCCCATTCAGCTGAGCAATCTAGAAACCCAAGCACCATCCTTAGTTCCTTTCGTAACTTGTCTCATTTTAAATGAATTGCTATCTATATCTTCTCAATGTTTTCTCCTGTATAACGCTTAAATCTCTCTCCTTTCCAATAGCACTTCAGTAAACTCAGTCTGAATTTAACTGAACTACTGCAGAATACTTCCTACCTGGATTTCATGTTAACTTTTGCCCCTCTTCTGTCCATTCTCTACCCTGCATCTAGAGATATCTTGTTAAATATGATCATGTCTCACTGTTGTAAATTATTCAATGACTTTCTGGTGGTTTTTGCTATGGACTGAATTGTGTTCCCTCAACATTTATGTTGGAGCACTAGCCCCAAATATGATTATATCTGTAGATGTGGTCTTTCGGAGGTAATGAAGGTTAATTAGCACATAAAGGTGGGATCCTAATTCAGAAGTACTGTGGCCAAAAAAAAAAAAAAAAAAAAGGAAGAGAGCTCTGTCTTCTTTGCTCAGACCCTCTAGATGTGAAGACACAGTGGAAAGGTAGTCATCTACAAGCCAGGGAGAGAGCCTTCACCAGAAGCAGACCATGCTGGAACCCTGGACTTAGATTTTCAGCCTCCAGAACTGTGAAAAAATTAATTTCTGTTCTTTAAGCCACCCAGATTATGGCATTTCCTTATGGCAGCCTGAGCTAACTAATATAATTTAATTATAAAAACTAAATCATTAAGAATAGAGTGAATGCCCTGGCCAGTTTGGCTGAGTGATTGGAGCATCGGTCCATGGACCAAAGAGTCGCCGGTTCAATTCCAATCAAGGGCACCTACCTTGGTTACAGTTCAGTCCCCTGCCCCTGGTTGGAATCATGCAGGAGGCAACCAATTGATGTGTCTCTTTCACATCAATGTTTTTCTCTCTCTCCCTCTCCTACTCTGTCTGAAAATAAATGGAAAAAATATTCTTGGGTGAGGAATTTAAAAAAGAATAGAGTAAATATCCCTAGCAATTCTGCTGTATCTTATACAACCCATTCTCTAGTTCCAATCATAGCAACCCTTAGAACTTTTCATTTTCTTGAACACATCTTATTCTTACTACATGGCCTTTTTACATGTTTTGGCCATTCCTGGGACATGATTTGTTTAGTTGACCCATTCTTCACAGTTCAACTTAAATATTAATTTCTGACAGAGCCTGTCCTGACTCTGATCCCACTTGACTTCTACCCACAGCTTTCCTTCATGTGCCTTCAGTGCTCATTTATTTTTCTGTAAAGTACTTTTTATGGCTTATAGCTATACATTTATTTTTGTGATTAATTTGTTAATATTTATCTTTCACTCTGGACTTATAAACTCTCTCAGGATAGGAAATAATATATTTTTGTTCACCATCACAGAGAATAGCACAATGTCTAGCACATAC